ACACACACACCCTCTCACATACACTCTTGCAGATTTTTATACCAAGGCTCCGGTCCCAGGCTGATGACTGATTAAGATTTCACTACCAATTACATTTTCCATTTTGGAAGCAACTATGAAGCTACCCTTCCTGAAAAAAACCTTAGTCAATTCTTCCTTTTCTCAAAATAAAGAGGAAATTTGAGCACTGGTGTTTAAATTAACAATGTGAAGAGCCACCATGGGTAGATTCAACAGACTTCAAAGCACACGCTACACCCTCCATACACAAACCCCAGGGTACATCTTAATCAATTAATACAGTCTCTAAGGCAAACTGGAGCCCTGGTGGTGCAGTGGTTAAGAGCTTGGCTGCTAACCAAAAGGTCAGCAGTTCAAATCCACCACCTGCTCCTTGGAAACCCTACGAGACAGTTCTACTCCGTCCTATAGGGTCGCTAAGAGTAGGAACCCACTCAACGGTAACGGGTACACATCTAAGGCAAATGACTGGCTTTCATTTCATCTTCTTGAAACACATGTCACATGAACTTTAATTGCCTTTTCTTCTCCTAAGGACTATGGCAGAGGTTAAGTTGCACTGTATACAGATCCCATAACTGATTGATTCAGTTCTCTTCCACAATCTCTTTAAACAGTTACTATTTACCTACAGGGACAAGCTCACAGTGAAAGCTGCCTTTAAATCTAGGACCAGATACCATGGCTCAGGGGGCCAAAACTAACACCTTGAGTTTTGTACAATGACTTCTAAGGCATTACCCCACACAGGAACCATATCTCCTTCATTCATAAAACAGTGTGGACACTAAACTGTGAAAGGGAACACAGTTGGCCACAGACCTCAGCCTTGCTGAACTGAGTACTGATTTGAAGAACAATATTTTAGGTAGACTTTGTTTTGGCCTGGGAGGGGATTTCTCCAATTGGTAACCCACGGTGTCCTAAACACTGAATTATGGAATGGTTTGTTTTGTTCAGATCTGCTTTATTCTCAAAGAAACACAAACGGTACTTTTTTATATAAAATTAAATATGCTCACAGTTCTTCTGGTGCAATTTAAATATGTTTTCAGTATTTCCTCTAGAAATTCAGAGTGTAAAATGATTTGCACAGCTTGCGTTTCTTTTTTTATTGACATAGAATTAACTTTGCTGACTTGATAAAACAAAACTAAATTAAGCCAGAATTACATTAATTTCATTGAAAAAAATAGCTGCTTAAGCTAAGATAGTCTTAGTGGAAATATCCATTTTATGCTTTATTTAACTCTCTGGAGTTTCTCTCTCATTTAAGACTAAGTATTAAACTGCTTTATTTGGATTTTTTGTTTACGTATTAGTTTGGCAAAGAAGCAGTTTGGCTGATACTTTGTTTCCTTTTTATGAATTCAATCCTTCCAAAATACGAAGACCACTGAGCTGACTAGGGCAAACAGAAAAAAAAGATAGCTCATAGCATAAGTGAAGGTCTAATATCTTCCATGTGCACCTAAATGCAAAAAATTCCTATAAATATATAACCAATAATAAGAATAAACAATCCATTTCCTTTCCTTAATAGAGCATTTATGTCTGAAGCCACCTTAGAATCTTGCTCCATGACTCAACCTCATAACTAATCAAACGGGAGGTTTTTCTCACTCCCGTTCTTCCAGTCTTAGAGAAGATTTCACGTGAAAAGTATAACATCCACCCAGCGGTCCCCTGGCCACCATATCGGATATACACTGCCACAAACAATGTTCCATAACAACCACCAAATATCAGAGGCATAAAACAATTGTCTATTGCTCATGTGTCTGGGGTGGTTGGCTAGGTGGCCCTGCTGATCTTGGCTGGGCACATTCATGTATCTTAAGGTTGAGTAGCTGTCAACTCACCTAGGCTGGCCTCAGCTGAGAAGAATGTTGTGACTCAGCTCTGTTCTATGCTAGCCCAGTGTATTAGTTTTCTATTGCTGCCACAGAAAATGACCACAAACTTGGAGGCTTAAAACAACACAAATTTATTATCTCACTATTCTGCAGGTCAGAAATTCAGGTGAGTTTAGCTTGTTTCTCTGCTGTGGACTTCACAAGACCACAATCAAGGTGTCAGCTGACTGGGTTCTTATATGGAGGCTCTGGAAGAATATACTTCCAAGTTTATTCAGGTTGTTGGCAGATTCTATTTCCTTAGGGTTATAAGACTGAGGTCCCTGTTTTCTTGCTGGCTGGTAAGCGGGGGCCACCTGTAACTCCTAGAGGCTTCCCTCTGGTCCTTGCACGTGGGGCCCTAAATCTCAGAGTCATCAGCGGTGCACTGAATTCTACTCATGCTCAGAATCTCTCTGACTTCCACTTCTGCCCTATCTCTCTTCTGCCTCTTCTTCTGCCCATCTGACTCCAGCCTGAGAAATTTCTCTGCTATTAAGGACTCAAGTGATTAGAATGGGCCCATCCAGAAAATCCAGGACAATCTCCTATTTTAAGGTCTGTAATCTTAATTACACCTGAAAAATTCCTTTTGCCATGTTTCACAACATATTCAGAGGTTCCAGAGATTAGGTGTGGACATCTTTGGGGGTCACTCTGCCTGCCACACCCGGGCATGTTGTCTTGGCAATGGCACAGGCACCAGAGAGGGCAAGCCCACTCACTCAAGCACTTTCCAAGCCACTGCTTGCATCACATTTGTTAACATCCCATTGGTCAAACCAAGTCACTGGTCAAGCCCAACATCAGAGTGGGAGGGCACTACACAGTCACGGGGCAAAGGATGTGGATACAGGGAGAAACAGAGAACTGTGATCATTACTGTGATCCACAACAGCTTCCTAAAAACAGCAGAGTGGTGAAGGTGTTAGACATGTTAATCGTCGAGCTCTGAGCACTATGTGGTAGACAGAAGGAGTACGTGGTTTCACAGCCTATAGGTAGTCCAGAATGCATGATCAACTGCACAATCACCACCAGCCATAACATACTGTGAGTGACTATTGTCAGAGACCATGTCTTGTTCATCTTCGGATCCCTAATGCCTGGAATATAGCAGGGGATCAATAATAAAAATAGTATTTATGGCTAATGTTCTATGCTAGGCACTGTATTAAGCAGTGAACATACATAAATTCATACCAATGCAATGAAGTAGATATTATATTTCCTGTACATACACATTTCAGAGATGATTAAATAGAGGCAAAATGAAATGAACTATGCCCAAGGTGACACAACTAATAAGTAGAGCCAGGATATGTTCATGGAAAGTCAATGAGTAGTTGATAAAAAGAAGGAACTCTGAGAACCTCAAAATGCTTTTAAGGTACAGGATTATTTGGATTAAGGTTCAGAAAATAATTCTCAATGACAGCCTTGATTTTGAAAACACTCCAACAATTATACCACTGGGAAACAGCCATGTGTATCATGGATCAATTCAATTAATTTATTGAGTTCAATTATTTACTGAATGTCCAGTATGTGCAAAGCTCAATGCTGGGTGTTTCAAAGATACATCACTATCTTCAAGATCACAAAACTACATATTAGAAGCTCTAAGCACAGCAGTGGGTGCAAGGCAGTTGCTCAGTAAGTGGGAGTCGGCTGAATAAAACATACGCACAAAATTAATATCAATATAGTCGTCCCTTGGTATCCATGGGGATTGGCTCCAGGACCCATGTGGATACCAAAATCAGCAGATGCTCAAGTCCCTTATATAAAATGGCACAGTATTTGCATACAACCTGAGCAATTCCTCCTGTATACTTTAAATCAACTCTAGATTACTTATAATACCCAATACGATGTAAACGCTATGGAAATAGTTGTTATACAGTACTGTATTGTTTAGGGAATAATGATAAGACATGAGGCAAACAGTGCTAACACAGGGAGTGCTGGAGAGAGACTGGGGATCTGTGAAATGGAGGAAGGATACAGCAGGTATGCCTACATATCACTTCAAGGGTAGTGCTCTGCAGGCAGCAAATTCAAATATTGCTTTTTGGAACTTTTTTTTTTTTTTTTAAATATTTTCCATCCGTGGCTGGTTGAATCCATGGATGCAGAACCCGTGGATCCAGAGGGCCAGTACTGTACTGTAAGTGCAAGATGTGTGAAGGTGACTAAAGCTCAAGGGCTGGTGAGATTAAGGACATTTTCATATAGAAGGTGAAACTTGGGTGTAGACATGAAGAAGGGATGGGAAACAGGACTTCATCCTGAAGACAATGTGTTTCAAGATCTGTGTTCCCTTTGTGCCTCGCTCCTCTTCATTCATTTGAAACTTATTTATTGATTATCATGACTTATTGAGGTCTTGGGGATACGATGGGAAATGACACACCTGGCTCTCATGGCAAGTTTATTGCAGTGGAGAGACAATAAGAAAAACAAATAAATAAATAAATACAGCAAATATGGATTGTACTAAGTGCTGTAAAAGAAAGTCATATGATTCAGTAAGAAAGGATAACAGGACTGGTGGGACCTTATTTTAGATGATGGCATTGCCCAGTCCTCTGTGAGAGGGTCCTTTGAGCTGGGACCTTAAATATGAGTAGGAGGCATCCATGGGAATTGCTGAGCACTCAGTTTAAGAGCTATACTGCTAACCAAAATGTCGGCAGTTTGAATCCACCAGCTGCTCCTTGGAAACCCTACGAGGCAGTTCTACTCAGTCCTATAGGGTCCTTATGAGTCGGAATCGACTCCACGGCAATGGATTTGGTTTTCCAGGCAAAGGAAAACCAACTACCAAGATCTGGAGGTGGGAAAGAACCAGGAGTGTTTGAGACACTGTCTGAAGATGAGTGTGGACGGTACAGAAAGTGAGGAGGAGAGTGGATCCTGGTGACACTGGAGAGGTGGGCAGGAGGCAGATCAGGCTGGGCCTTTTGCCCACGGAAAGAAGTCTTGGTTCAGAAGTAAATAATTAATGTGATTTATTTACATTTAAAGATCTCTCTTGCTGCTATTTAGGGAATGGATTTTCACAAAGCAAGGACAAAGTTGGGGTGCTTGCTTCCGCAACCCATATATGAAAATTTGAATGATGCAGAGAAGACTAGCATGACCCCTGCACAAGGTGGACATGCAAATTCATGAAGCATTCCATATTAAAATAATTTTAAAAAAAGAACAAAGTTGGAAGTCCAGGTAGCAAACTGCTGTTCGGATGCGAAATTAACATAGAACAGAACAGGATGATGGCAGTAGAGGTGGGGAGGATGGACATATTTGAGATGTATTTTAGTGACCGAATCAGTAATCTGTGTTAATGAGTCAGAGGGGTAGGGGAAGAGAGGGAGACAAAGGCAGAATTCTAAGATGATGCTTAGGTATTACCAGTGCAACACTGCTAAGCCACTCTTTTTTTGTGTGTGTGTGCTTTAGGTGAAAGTTTACAGCTCTAGTTTCTCATACAAACATTTACACACACATTGTTATGTAACCCTAGCTGTTACCCCTATAATGTGACTGCACATTCCTCCTTTCCACACTGGATCTCCTGTGTCCATTCACCCAGCTCCTATCCCTTTCTGTCTTCTCATCTCTCTTCCAGACAGAAGCTGCCCATTTAGTCTCGTGTATCTACTTGAACTAAGAAGCACACTCTTAACAAGTATCATTTTATGTCTTATACTCCAGTCTATTCTTTGTCTGAAGAGTTGGCTTCGGGAATGGTTTTAGTTCTGGGTTAATAGAGAGACCAGGGATCATGTCTTCTGGGGTTCCTCCAGTCTCAGTCAGACAATTAATTCTGGTCTTTTTACTAGAACTTGAGTTCTGCACCCCACTTTTCTCCTGCTCCATCAGGGACTCTCTGTTGTGTTCCCTGTCAGGGCAGTCATTGGTGGTAGCCAGGCACCAACTAGTTCTTCTGGTCTCAGGCTGATGGAGTCTCTGGTTTATGTGGCCCTTTCTGTCTCTTGGGCTAATATTTTCCTTGTGTCTTTGGTGTTCTTCATTCTCCTTTGCTCCAGGTGGGTTGGGACCAATTGATGCATCTGAGATAGCCACTCATTAGCTTTTAAGACCCCAGATGCCACTCACCAAAGTGGGATGCAGAACATTTTCTTAATAAATTTTATGCCAATTGACCTAGATGTCCCCTTAAACCATCGTCCTCAGACCCCCACTCCTGCTAGTCTGTCCCTCAAAGTCTTTGGTTGTGTTCAGGAAACTTCTTAGCTTTTGGTTTAGTCCAGTTGTGCTGACTTCCTTTGTATTATGTGATATCTTCATTTCACCTAAGATAATTGTTGTCTATTATCTAGTTAGTAAATTCCTCTCCCCCTCCCTCCCCACCCTTGTAACAATCAAAGAATGTTTTCTTCTGCGTTTAAACCTTTTCTTGAGTTCTTAATAGTGGTCTTATACAATATTTGTCCTTTTGCCACTGACTAATTTTACTCAGCATAATGCCTTCCAGATTCATCCATGTTATGAGATGTTTCGTGGATTCATCATTGTTCTTTATTGTTGTGTAGTATTCCATTGTGTGAATATACCATAATTTGTTTATCCATTCATCCGTTGATGGGCACCTAGGTTGTTTCCATCTTTTTGCCATTGCAAACAGTACTGCAATGAACATGGGGATACATATATCTATTTGTGTGGCAGCTCTTATTTCTCTAGGACGTATTCCAAGGAGCAGGATAGCTGGATCGTATGGTACTTCTATTTGTAGCTTTTTAAGGAAGTGCCAAATCAATTTCCAAAGTGGCTGTACCATTTTACATTCCCACCAGCAGTGTATAAGTGTTCCTGTCTCTCCACAACCTCTCCAACATTTATTATTTTGTGTTTTTTGGATTAATGCTAGCCTTGTTGGGGTAAGAGGGTATCTCACTGTAGTTTTGATTTGCATTTCTCTAATGGCTAATGATTGTCAGCATTTCCTCATGTATCTGTTAGCTGCCTAAATGTCTTCTTTGGAGAAATGTCTGTTCATATCATTTACCCAGTTTTTAATTGGGTAATCTGTCTTTTTGTTGTTAAAGTTTGCAGTATCTTCTAGATTTTAGAGATTAGAACCTGACTGGAAATGTCGTAGCCAAAAATTTTTTCCCACTCTGTAAGTTGTCGTTTTACTCTTTTGGTGAAGTCTTTTGATGAGCATAAAAGATTTTTAGGAACTTCCAGTTATCTAGTTTCTCTTCTGGTGTTTGTGCATTGTTACTTATGATTTGTATTCTGTTTATGCCATGTATTGGGCTCGTAGCATCATCCTTATTTTTTCTTCCATGATCTTTATCATTTTCAATTTTATATCTAGGTCTCTGATCCATTTTGAGTTAGTTTTTGTACATAGTGTGAGGTATGGATCTTGTTTCACTTTTTTACAGATAGATATCCAGTTATGCCAGCACCATTTGTTAAGGAGAGTGTCTTTTTCTCATTGAACAGACTTGGGCCATTGTCATATATCAGCTGCTCACAGGTGGATGAATTTACATGTGGATTCTCAATTCTGTTCCATTGGTCTATATATCTGTTGTTGTACCAGTATCAGGCTGTTTTGACTACTGTGGCTGTATAATAGGTTCTAAAATCAGGGAGTGTGAGGCCTCCCACTTTGTTCTTCTTCTTCAGTAATGCTTTAATTATCCAGGTCCTCTTCCCTTTCCATATGAAGATGGTGATTTGTTTCTCCATCTCCTTAAAAAATGTCATTGGAATTTGGGTCAAGATTGCATTGTATCTGTAGATTGCTATGGGTAGAACAGACATTTTTACAGTGTTGAGTCTTCTATCTATGAGAAAGGTATGTTTTTCCACTTATGTAGGTCTCTTTTGGTTTCTTGCAGTGGTGTCTTGGAGTTTTCTTTGTATAAATCTTTTACGTCTCTGGTTAGATTTATTCCTAAGTATTTTATCTTCTTGGGGGCTATTGTAAATAGTATAGATTTGGTGATTTCCTCTTGGAAGTTCTCTTTGTTGGTGTAGAGGAAGCTGACTGATTTTTGTATGTTTATCTTGTACCCTGATACTTTGCTGAAATCTTCTATTAGTTCCAGTAGTTTTCTTGTGGATTTTTTTGGGTTTTCTGTGTATAAGATCATATCATCTGCAAATAAGGATACTTTTACTTCTTCCTTACCAATTTGTATGCCCTTTATTTCTTTTTCTAGCCTAATTGCTCTGGCTAGAACCTCCAGCACAATGTTGAATAAGAGTAGTGATAAAGGGCATCCTTGTCTGGCTCCTGTTCTCAAGTGGAAAGTTTTCAGCTCTCTCCATTTAGGATGATGTTGGCTGTTGGCTTTGTATAAATGTCCTTAATTATATTGAGAAGTTTCCCTTCTATTCCTATTTTGCTGAGAGGTTTTTTTTTTTTTTTTTAATCATGAATGGGTGTTGGACTTTGTCAAATGCCTTTTCTGAATCAATTGATAAGATCATGTGGTGCTTGTCTTTGTTTTATTTATGTGATGGATTACATCGATTGTTTTTCTAATGTTGAACCATCCCTGCATACCTGGTATGAATCCCACTTGGTCATGGTAAATTATTTTTTTGATATATTGTTGGATTCTGTTGGCTAGAATTTTGTTGAAGATTTCTGCATCTATGTTCATGAGGGATATTGGTCTGTAATTTTCTTTTTTTGTGGTGTATTTACCTGGTTTTGGTATCAGGGTTATGCTGGCTTCACAGAATGAGTTTGAGAGTATTCCATCCTTTTCTATGCTCTGAAATACCTCTAGTAGTAGTGGTGTTAACTCTTCTCTAAAAGTTTGCTAGAATTCTCCAGTAAGCCATCAGGCCCAGGGTTTTTTTTGTTGTTGTTGTTGGGAGTTTTTAAATTACCTTTTCAACTTCTTCTTTTGTTACAGGTTTATTTAATTGTTCTACCTCTGTTTGTGTTAGTTTAGGTAGGTAGTGTTTCTAGAAATTTGTCCATTTCCTCTAGGTTTTCAAATTTGTTGGAACACAATTTTTCATAATATTTTCTTATGATTCTTCTAATTTCAGTTGGGTCTGTTGTGATATCACCCATCTCATTTCTTATTCGGGTTATTTGCTTCCTCTTGAGTTTTTCTTTTGTCAGTTTGGCCAGTGCTTTATCAATTTTGCTGATTTTTTCAAAGAACCACCTTTGGTCTTATTAACTCTTTCAATTGTTTTTCTATTCTCTATTTCATTTAATTCTGCTCTAATTTTTATTATTTCCTTTCTTCTGGTGCCCGAGGGCTTCTTTTGCTGCTCTCTTTCTACTTCTTTGAGTTTTAGGCTTAATGTTTTGATTTTGGCCATTTTTTCTTTTTGGATGTGGGTATTTATTGCTGTAAATTGACCTCTGAGCACTGCTTTTCCTGTGTCTCAAAGGTTCTGGTAGGATGTGTTTTTATTCTCATTTCATTCTGTGAATTTATTCCATCCTTAATTTCTTCTATAACCCAGTAGATTTTAAGCAAGGTGTTGTTCAGTGTCCATATATTTGACTTTTTTTCCTTGCTTTTCCTGTTACTGATTTCTACTTTTATGACTTTATGGTCAGAAAAGATTCTTTGTAATATTTTGATGTTTCGGATTCTCTTAAGGCTTGCTCTGTGGCTTAATATGTTGTCTATTCTGGAGAATGTACCATGTGTGCTGGAAAAGAATGTATACTTGGCTGCTGTTGGGTGGATGTTCTGTATATGTCTATGAGATCAAGTTGGTTGATTGTGACATTTAGCTCTTCCGTGTCTTTCTTGAGCTTCTTTCTGCATGTTCTGTCCTTCACCGAAAGTGGTGTGTTGAAATCTCCTACTATTATTGTGGAGCTGTCTATTTCTCTTCGTTAGAGTTTGTTTGATGTATTTCGGAGCCCTGTCATTGAGTACATAAATATTTATTATGGTTATGTCCTCCTGGTGTATTGACCCTTTAATCATTATACGGTGTCCTTCCTTATCCGTTGTGGTGGATTTTGCTTTAAAGTCTATTTTGTCAGAGATTAATATTGCCACTCCTTCTCTTTTTTGATTGTTGTTTGCTTAATATACTTTTTCCATCCTCTGAGTTTTAGTTTGTTTGTGTCTTTAAGTTTAAGGTCTGTCTCCTGTAGGCAGCATATTGACGCAGGAGAGCTGCGGCAACACGATTCACTTCAACTAATGAAGTGTGGGT